CCGGCCATCTCCCATCCCGTGCAAAGCTGCTAGCCGTGGAGCAAGAGTCGAGCGGTCTGGTGTCTGCCGCTCTGTCGCCTAGCATGAATATTTCATGTTCGACTTCCTCGGAGAGTGGTTGCCTTTAAACAAACAGGGCCAAAACAAGATGACCTTGATAGAGCAGTTTGTGTATTGTAGGTTCAGTTATGCCGTGCTGCTGGTGCCCGGGGAGGCTCGGTGTGCGTGCGAAGTCACGCAGCCCTCTCCCGGTTAGCGCAGTTGATCTTCTAGCACTTGCCCTGTGTTCTGGTGGGTTGTGTTTCTCCGTAGAGATGGTTTAGCACGTTAGCTTCTCTTTCGTGAAGAATTGCAGAGGATCGCCACAGCTTGAGCTTCTTGCATCTCAACTGCAAAGCCGTCAGGTTTCACCCAGAATTAAACTTGGTTTCGGGGGTGTGTGTTTCTGTGGGTTTTTTTGTTTGGTTGGCTTGGGTTTTTTAAATCAGTGCTTTAATCTACAGCACACACTCTCAGCACATCTTCAAACCCTAGTTCAGCTGTTGTGGCTGAATGCTGAATAGGTTAAGATGAAACCTGGAAGAAAGCCTAAGTGATCTCAGTGATAAGGATGTATTCTAAATCGTAAATGATCAGCTCATCCTAAATTGATCCTAAAATTAGCTTGCAAACATACCAGGTTAGTAACCCCTAATTACAGCATAGGATTTAAATAGATGCTGAATTATTTATACCTGTGAGAGATTTGAGTTGGTTTAAAAAAAAAAAAAAGCTTAAAATGAGCTATTGTGCGGTTCAACCTATTGCAATATGCCTGTATGTGCAAATACTTCTACTTGCTCGGTCAGCAGATACTCTTAATATGAGTTTGTGGAGGCTTCAATCTGCTTCATTGCTGGATCATACATTGTGCTGTGTTCAAAATTGCATTCCCTTCTTACTGGAATAAAAGATCATTTTCAGGAGCTTTTGTCTTCTGTGAATTTTGGGCGTTTTGGTTTTTTGTTTTGTTGGTGTTTGGGGGGGCAGAGTGGGGGGTTTTTTGGTTGGTTTTTAATTTTCCCTAATTAAAAAACAGTCTTGTAGATAACGACTGTCACCAACAGACATTTTTATTCTTTTTTGGCTACCACTGAAAAGGATGAAATTACTACAAAAGATTCATACTTGTAATCTGATAAAACGTGCCACTCCCATTTTTGTGCTGGTCTAGCTTCTTTGCTGTAGGGTAGTGCTGAGTAGAACACATCAGTGAATACTTGCTGTAATGCAGCGTGGGCTTTTGTTCTTTAAGAGGTTTGAATAACTGTACTAATATGCCAATACTGTAAGTAGCCACTCATATTCCAAAATAAAACATTCCTTAACCAAGAAATTCTTGAAAGAATAATATGCATAGTGCTGGTCTCAAACTTCGTACTTAGCTGAATGGAATTTCTAAATTAATTCTGCTGTACGGAATAAAATCCCCATTGCAGCCCAGTGTGTACAGTTTTTCTCACCTTCCAAAAGCAATTTTGCTCTGCAGTTGGCTTTCAGTGAAAGAAGACCCAGAAAATAATTTTTGTAAGCTAAAATTAAGCAGCTTTTCTGGAACTTCTACTGTAATAAGCATTGGGTGCATGTGTTTTAATACCAAGTTCTGTGATGCTTTGGGGAGATCAATATATGATGATTCCTGCATATTAGCAGTTTCTTGTGGACATCAGATGTTTTTTCTTTCACTAGTAGTGTCTCAAAGGAGTAAAAACATTAGATTTAGGGACGAGGTTCACCTTGTCTATGGAAGCAGTAATAGAGGGTTAATATTTGACTATGTTAATTTGGGAAAAATAGCTAATAAAAAAATCAATCTCCTAATCGAAGCTGGGAGAAAGAATAGCCTTTTGCTTCATTCCTGTCAGCACAGTGGATGTACTCCACTGTTGATGGTGCAGCTGAAGCACGTTATGATGGTGCACTCATACACTGGTCACTATCAGCTGCTTGCAAGGAGTTATTAATGCAAGAATAATGTTTTAGCTTTCTGAATATGCTGTCAATCACAATACCTTTTTTACTGTGTTTCTTTGCTTATTTTGTTGCTGGAGGGTCTTTTTAAGTGAACAGCTTTGTCAGCATGAGCACTATCCCTTTACTAAACAAAGCCAAGTACTATTCAGTAGTTGAAATACGTTTTTCTTGGTTCTTTTCCTTGTTTTCAAACTGATGTCATGCATAGCAGCATTAACTGGTATTAATGAGCCAGGCATTCCAAATTCATGGCAATGTTTCCCGTCACAGCAATGCAGGCATCAGAGGATTGATTGTTGAGACAGTGTTCAGTTAACAAACAAGGAAAAAGAGTGTTTTTCTGTGTCCCAAGAGCTTCACAGATTTGCACCCATGAGTCCCACAGAACTAGCTTGAACTAGAATTGAATTGTACAACACAGAGTAGAAAACCACAGCCATCTTGCTCTGCATTCATGTGTGGTTTTCATCCATCCTTTTTTTTAAGGTGGGGTTGGAGGAGAAGGCCTTTCTGGAAGTGGTAGGGGTCTCATTTTAGTTTCTGAATGATCCAGGCTGTTCTGATTGTGTTGGAAAGGTTGGATCTATTGCCCAAGGAAGTTTTGACATAATCGACAGGTTAGGTTGAGAGAAAGAAATCAGTACCATTTGAGGAGCTCTTTGTGCTGATGGGAAAAAGTCCATGGCTGGAACGCTCTTCATAGTGCTCGTTTATAATGATTAGTTTTCACGGTATAGTTTCCTTTTTTAAAATTATTTTAATAGAAATGGTATAAACAAGCTACACATGAAAGCAGGTGTTTTTTTGGAAGTGGCAGAATTCATTACAAAGTTGAATGTAAAAGTATCTATAATATAGATTTGTTTTTTCTGTAGGGCTGTTTGACTGTGTTTGTTGTTTGTATGTCACTGATACTTTGAGTACTTAATGTTTGCTCTAGTACTTCAAGCTTTGGAGTAGATGGGAGTTGTGTAAAGGTTGTTTTATCCCAGTAGGTCATGTTTTTGGTACATTTTCTTCCAAAACAGTGTTTGTATGAAAAGTAAAATAGCATGTAATGCTAAGTCATCTAATGTAGATCATAGTGATACAGTCATTAAGGGTGGAAGGATCTCTGAGGGGCTAACTCCCCTTTCAGAGCAGACTCTGCTTAGACCACATTCCCAGGGCTCATCCACCTGAGCTTTGAATGCCGTCAAGGTCGGAGGTTTCCAGCATGTCTCAGGAAACTTTTCCTAGTGTTTGACTACCTTCCTAGTGATTTCTGCCTCCCCCTCCCCAAGACCAGAATTCTGCTTGTAGCAGTTTGTGCCTGTTGTCTTCATGTTCTTTATGCAAGCGCCTCAGAGACTCGTACTCAGCCTTCACCATCCTGTTATTGCTGCCTACCAAAGATCCCTACGAAGCCTTCTCCTCTGAAGGCTGAACAAGTCCAGTTTTCTCAGCCTCTCTTCGTGTGCGCTTGCTCCAAACCCCAGTCATCTTGCTGCCTCTTTGCTAGTCTTGCTCTAGTGTGTCAGTGCCTATATTACAAACACAAGTTCATAGAATCATAGAATCATTAAGGTTGGAAAAGACCTCTAAGATCGAGTCCAATTGTCAACCCAATACCACCATGTCCCTAAGCGCCACATTTACACATCTTTTAAATACCTCCAGGTCTGGTGACTCAACCACTTCCCTGGGCAGCCTGTTCCAATGTTTAACCACTCTTTCAG